GGGAAGGGGCTTAGTGGAAAGGTGCGCCGTCGTCAAGATCATCGTCGCGATTAGCATTAAATGCTAATGAATGGTGTACCTCTGCTACGGCTAATGATGTTGAATTAATGTGAAAATATAACATGTATATGAATTACACACCAGTTAACGTACATTATTACAGATTTAATTTGGTTCCGGTTAACATCTTTCCTGTGCGATATGAGTGTATTTGTCAATGAACTACTAATAGGCGTCAACCCAGAGTTAAATGCGTCATAACTGTAATGGTGCTAACGCTCCTGTCGTATGTCTACATCTGTCTCTTATACACATCTAGATGTGTATAAGAGACAGTATATATACTGTGGCTTAGTATTAACCTGGTACTAATCCCTATATTTATTATTCATCGTCATCCCTTTAAATTAGATTTTTTTAATGCAAAAGCATTGGATTCGTGAACCTCTACTAGCCTATGTTGAATTGAAGTGATAAGATATAAAAATAAATAAATTACACACCAGTTAACGTACAATATTACAAATATTGTGGTTCCAAATGATATTTTAGAGTGTGCTTAGCTCTGTAGGAACTTCCGGTAAAGCTATGCGATTCGTCAATAAACGACCTCTACGAGACGCAATAAACGTCAACTCGCAGTTATATACGTCATGCAAATATGACGTTGACGCGCCGGCCACAGGCCTACGCTTCATTATTGGTTCCTATGATGTAAAGTTAAACATGAACCTTGCAGCCGTTGCATGTGCACTAACTGGTCGAAAGTTTGTAAACAAGCAAACCTGAATTTCTAAACAACCCATTGTTTGTGAATTTTTGTATATATGTAGTTTTGGTCATTATAATGTTCCCTATATTTGAAAACGTTATTGGATAAATTTTAAAGCAATACACAAGGACTGTATTACTTCCCCTTCATCCAAGATTCGGGAAAATCTAGCGCCAGTAGATTATTTAATGTATATTTGATGATAAAATTCAGAGATGGAGTTAGCTGACCTCGCAAAATAATAATATGGGACTCTAGGGAATTAACAAGCTCCTCACATTGCTATTTAGAATTTTTAAAATATACAAACCTTCACTGGCGAGGAGAAATAATTTTGTCACGAAACAATGCTCTATAAAAAGGCATCTTGTAGTTTAGAGTGCTATATCTTGCGATTTGTTCAGTGGATTGATGCCCCGCTATGTACTATTACAAGCACCCGACACAAGTGTTATAAATTTTACCAATGGCTGCATAGGAGTCGTAGCGGTCTGGTTTATTATATACAGCAACTATCATTTTTATTATGTTCACAATTAGCTAATAAAATGTCCGTTTTGTGGGACCTTAGCAACAATATCCAAGGGAAGGGGCTTAGTGGAAAGGTGCGCCGTCGTCAAGATCATCGTCGCGATTAGCATTAAATGCTAATGAATGGTGTACCTCTGCTACGGCTAATGATGTTGAATTAATGTGAAAATATAACATGTATATGAATTACACACCAGTTAACGTACATTATTACAGATTTAATTTGGTTCCGGTTAACATCTTTCCTGTGCGATATGAGTGTATTTGTCAATGAACTACTAATAGGCGTCAACCCAGAGTTAAATGCGTCATAACTGTAATGGTGCTAACGCTCCTGTCGTATGTCTACATTTCATTTTCTGAAATGAATACAATCATTTTAATACTCATCGTTAGCTGCTAAGCTGTTGACATGTATTTCTAAATCATCATCATAAAAATACTTGTACAATACAAAGCAGAAAAATATAGAGATATTATTATTATTATTATTATTATTATTATTATTATTATTATTATTATTATTATTATTATGCCTGTTATTATTATTACTGTTATATCATCATCATCATCATTATTATAATTGTCATTATTATTCATTTATCATCATTATTATCGTCATTGTCATTTTGACTAATATTATTATCTTGAACATTAAATCATCATCATCATCATTATTGTTATTGTTATTATTATTCCTTTATCATCATTATTATCATCACTGTCAATATGACTAATATTATTATCATGAACATTATTTATTATTATTATCATTCTCATATTTATTGTTTCTATTGTTTTAATAAATTCAATTACTTATCTGTATACACCTATTCAAATTGCTACCTTATAATTATTCATCAAAAGACGAACATACAATAAAAAATAGCTTCACATTACTCCAGTCCACCATTCGTTTATTAAATGTCAAACAATTTTCTATCATATTTGCAACCACACGATTTTTGCAGGGGTGGCGCCAGGGGGGATGGGTAAGGGCCCCCTGTCCGGAAGAGTTTTCTCTCCTCCCCCGTCGGGGAGAAATACCACAATTCGTCAGGGATAAAAATTTGCTACATTTTAGTAGACACTAAAATCGATTAAATAAAGCTTTCAATCCACCAAATTATCAAAATTTTAGGGAGTTAGGGAGCTTCAGCCATGAACCAGTTTTGGAATAGTTTGAGCGACACCCGACCACGCTCAAGTTTCTCTCTCTCGACATTGGCTCCTCCTCCACCCACCGTCGGGACCTCGAATCCCCTCCCACCACGCCTGGCAAATCCTGGCGACACCCCTGGATATTTGAATCATGCTTCACTCTTAAGCTTTGTCCAGGCTATCAAGCTTTACGTGACACTCCGTGATGTGACCATATTTCGGGGTAATATGACATCATCACGCCCATGTGGACACATCACAAAATATTTGACGTAAAAGGTGATAGTGTGGACGGAGCTTTAGGTCAGTTTCTGAGCTACATCAACTAGAAGGTTTATTAAAACCAATAATATTTGTAAATGCTTATAACCGGTTCAAGGTTTAAAATTAACAATTGATACACTACATAATACTTATCAGCTAAAAAATGGAATGCATATAAAAATTTCGGTTAATAGCCACATAAATGTTGCCTCTAAATAAAATTACGCCTTCCCATAATACAATTTTACATTAAATACGTTACCATAAAACCTAACAGCCGAAAATAGAATGTAAATTTTAGGTAGAACCAGTGCAAAATATTACAATTTTAATTAAATTCAAATAAGTGTACCAACGTATGTGATTTATTATGCTAATACTGCTGAAAGAATAGATTACGTTACAGTACCAAGGTTTAGGAATTTGCCTAAGAATAGCTATCACTAAAACACAAATCATATTTTCTAAAAAATCAAAACATCAAACGAACAGGAATATAATACGCAGACCTGATACCTATTTAATTACTACATCATTTACGTACCTTACATTAATAATAATAATAATAATAATGGGTAGTGCCGGTATCTGCCAAACTTCACGTTCATGGCGCTCCATAGCATGAACATATCGCGTTCATAGTCTGGGTGCCATGGTGGTTAAGCGTGTAAAATTTGGTGCATAATTGTTTCCAGTGGATTGTAGCTCTACAAGTGATCCAGATTGATATTGGTAATATTATTTTACTCTTAGGGAATTTGAGAAATCCAAGATGGCCGCCAAAATGGCCTCCAAATTTGAATATTACCCATAATTCCTATAATATTTTACATAAAACAATATTTATCTATACTATAGTTTAAGAAGTCAAAATACATTGCCACCACCAAATGTCAATTTAAGCCTCTGTGAACATCCAAAATGGCTGCCAATATGGCTGCCAAATCTGAATTTAGCTATCACTAAAACACAAAGCACATTATCTAAGGATTATACAAGGACTAACATTTACCACATCAAACGAACAGGAATATAATACGCAGACCTGATACCTATTTGCTTACTACATCATTTACGTACCTTGCATACATTAATAATAATAATAATAATAATAATAATAATATTAATAATAAAATAAATAAATAAATAATAAAATATAATATAATAATAATAATAATAATGGGTAGTGCCGGTATCTGCCAAACTTCACGTTCATGGCGCTCCATACCATGAACATATCGCGTTCATAGTCTGGGTGCCATGGTGGTTAAGCGTCCAAAATTTGGTGCATAATTTTTTTCAGTGGATTGTGGCTCTACAAGTGGTCCAGATTGATATTCCACCGGGTAATATTTATTTTACCCTTGGAGAATTTGAAATGGCCGCCAAAATGGCCTCCAAATTTGAATATTACCCATAATTCCTATAATATTTTACATAAAACAATATTCTTTTTAATTTATACTATGGTTTAAGGAGTCAAAAGAGGCCAAAATTAGGCCTTTATGATTATTGGTTATAGAGATATGGATATACTGCAAGTTATATACAGTCAATAGTCATAAATGTCATTTCCGGTCACTTTGGGCAACATGTTGCATTAGTGAAAATAGGAACATGCATACTCTAAACAATTTGAGGCCATAACTAGGTCTTTATGACCAACGGTTTTGGGAGCACATTTGAGAGCACAAACTATAGTCTTTACGATTTTCCGTTGTCAAGATATAGGGATCAGTCATTTTTATGATGAGGCGGCCATTTTGAATTCAGAATGGCGGCCATAGCAGGCATGAGAAATTTCCTGCACCACTAATGGTGATCCCTCTACCCGGAAAACCGATGCCAGTTACTTTCGTCTGCCAACCCAATGGGTGGAGCAGCACACCAGGGTAATTAAAGTATTTTGATACCATAGCAGCGAATGAATAAATAGGCCTTTTTTATGTGATGAGAACTCCTGCACTATAAACTTACACAACGTTTAACCGTCGAAAGTTTCTCATGCAAAATTTTAAGCGATGTGACAATTTTGAAGTCCTTTCTTTGCAGGAGGTGTTCCTGTTTCCGCCGAAGCATCGTCTCTGAGCGTGGCTAGTGATGATGTGGGTGGCCCAACTTTCTCATAACTCATGTTATATACCTCACTCTGTTTCTGTTTGTCTGTTTCCTTTAACATAATGAAAAGATAATATTTTAAGTTAATTGCCTTCGTTTAAAAAAAGAGCGAAATAATCATATTGCAAAAAAATAAAAGCTTACTGCAAATCGTTGTTCCCACCGGACAATCGGATCTTCGTCTTCACCCATGGATTTCAGAACATCCACTATCTCCCTCTTCAGTTCTTCGTAGTCTTGGCTTTGTCTGCCGGGTCCTAGTTTGTGCTCCATATTGTAAGCATCCTCGAGGAATTTCAAAGCTTTTTCAAAGTTTTTATGAGCATCAGCTGAAATAAAAACAAATTTAAATTATAATAATAAAAATAATGTTAAAGATAGTTATAGTATTTATAACAATAATAACAATAAGAATAATAAAAATAATATGAAATAAAAATATAATAGAAAATATAAATACTAACAGTATTGATAATATTAATAACGTAGATAATACTGAAATTGGTGATGATGATAATGATGATGATGATGACAATGATAATGAAAATGATAACTTTCCAAAAACCAGGGAATCAATTATGCATTGAACACCCTTCAAGTCATGACCATCCCCATCCCCACTTTACCACCACACTAATGGACATCTCTAATTCAAGACCAATTTTTTAAAGAACCCAATAACAATCTTCGATTGAACCCCGAGGCCACCAACATTTTCAGGTCCAAAAGGTGGTCTCGAATTAAAAGGCGAATTGTATTTAATCGATCAACACTAATTCAACGAACAATTTCAAGATAATTTATCTTGGGGCCGTAAAGGCCATACAATAATATAATAAAGTTAAGAACTGTTGTGCTGTTTTTTATACAAGTAGGCATATAAGAATAAGAATGATAATTAGCATTTTTATAATTATTATGTGAAAAAGAGTTGATACTTGGAATGTTTAACAACTTAATTGAATATTTTATCTTGAGTACTTTTACCACATAAAATGATTGTTTCAAAGTATTGTACAAGTTTCAGACGATATCTGTCAAGTCGGAGGAGAGATGGATGCATCATTACATAATCTTATAAAAGATCAGTGGCCATTATTTTTTTTTATTTCAGTAATTTTAAATACATACAAAAATAATTCAGCAGAAAATACAACACTACATAACTATTATGTTATTATTGTGTAAAATAAAACGACAACCAAACGGATAATATCTACATGTTCAGCATTTAAACAGACAAAATAAGACAAATAATAAACCAATACATCATACCATAGAGAAAATATGACTGTGTTCTATTTTCTCTATGACCATACTATGTCAAAATGGTAAGACCAGCCTACCTCTCTCGTCTTCTGAAACTTCGGTAGACTTCAGTATTTTCTTGCCAATGTGATGATGAGTAGTGCCAACGAAGTACAGGCATCTTGCTGTTTCTGGGTTTTCTTTTTTGAAAATACGCTGAATAATTCTTAAGCTTTTCTCTGCATCAGGTAATGCTTCACTGTAATCCTCCAATTCAAAGTGACAAAGCGCCCTGTTCTTTAAGATCTTTGCCGTTTGTTCGATTTCCAACCCAGGGAAACTATTGTGCTGCATTTCTAAGGCCTTATCAAACCACTCCAGAGCCTTTTTATATTGTTGCTCTCCCTTTTCTGGTTCGTTTGCATCCATGTGCCGATTACCCCAGCTTCTGAAGCAGGCGCCCAAGTTCATAATATACACAGAGGAATCCAAATGCAGTTCAGGTTTGCCTTCTGTAATAATTTTAATCATTTCCCATGCCTGTTCGTGATAGCGTTGGGCGTCCCGAAGTTTCTTCTGAAGATAAAACACGTTACCGATTGCATTAAGAGCGCGAGCAGTCATCGTGTGATCTCCCTCGAGTTTCGTTCGTATATCCAACGACTTTTGAAGACAGTCCAGACTGTCATTGTACTCTCGCTGGTCAGCAAATGCTCGCCCTTTTACGTACAAACAGGCTGCCTTAGCTATCATTGCATTCTTATGATGTTTCTCGCTGGCGTTTAGTTTTTCCAACGTTGTCAACCCCTTGTCTACAATTTCGTGCACCTCCTCCAACTTAGCTTGGCTTATGTACTGTTCACCAAGCCATGCACACATTAAACTGTAAGTGATCCCGTCTTTCTCCTTTTCAGCCTTAGCTAAAGCGTTCTTAAAATATTCTGATCTTCGATCTGCATCAACCAAACTCGAGATTATGAGATATCGTTTATCTTCTTTAGAAAAGTCCAATTCTTTAGCGGTTTGTTGTGACTGGATCTTTGCTGCATGCTCAATATATTGCATCAAATTGACTTTATCGTTCTGGTACATTTCAAGACCTTCCTTAAAATTCATGTTTGCAACTTCAGAAATGTTATTTAGCACCTGATGGTAGTGCTTAAGAAACGCTGCCATCGCTGTGTCTCTAAGTTTTCTGAGAGAGTCATCTTCTTTTGTTGCACCTGCACATGTCATTCTCACCAATGTATGTAAATTGTACTGGTTAAAGTTACCTGCACCAGATGCAATGTTTACGAACTGGTCAAGCTTTTCGAATTCCAATACCCCGTAGATACAGAGATCCTGCAGATACAAACTAATCATACTTTCATCTTCATCAAGAATGACGGTTGCAACTTCCTCGTAAAAGAAACTTGGAAACACAGACAACTTGATTAAGTATTTCTTTGAATCTTTATCGAGTTGATTAAATAAAACACGAAGGCAGTTGAGCACACTTTCTTGCTGCTCGATCTCCTGACCATCCTCTGTCATGTTCATTTGGTACCGACAATCAAGAATCCGACTATCTGGAACAGGTTTCTGCAGAATTTCCAGTAATTTCTTTGGTTTGATCTGCCCCTGTTTCAGACGGCTTGCCAATGCTCTGATTGCATGTGGGTTACGACCACACACAGACACCAAACTAGTGCATAATCCATCGTCTAGGCTGGGAATCCCAGAAGAGCGGAGTAGAAGTTTCTCAGCATCTGATAACTCAAGTGGTTTTAGATCAAGTTGATGGAAGTTTTCACGTTCAATTAGGACGTCACTATCAATCTTGTACCTGGTAGTAATCAAAAACTTTATTCGCTGTTTACTTTCCTCAAGGAATTCACAAAGAAAGTTCGTGAAATCATCACGTGATGTACTTCTTGGCCTAAGAATATCATCTGCGTTATCTAAATAGATAATGGTTTCTGAAAACACACAAAATAAAAGGATTTACAAGGCATTTTACCAATGGTAGTTTCTCTCTGCCAGGGAATGTAGGCCTATGTGTCAAAATCCCATGATTAATAGCTGCAACATTATTGAATTCTCTCAAGAAAAATGAGTATGTATTGTGTATGTGTAGCAAAAGTTATTTCTAAGTAAATTATTTTGGAAAAGCTGATGCAACGCTGTATTAACGTTATTTTCTTACATAACATAACCACAACATTTACAACGTTCATGAACGTTTTAATAACGTTTGTTTATATTTGCTGGGTAGAACAATGAGGACAGTGATGATGTACTGTAGATTCTAGATATTAAGAATACTGAAGATGATGGTTATGTGATGAATGATGTTGATAGTGATAATGTTTATGATGGTGATGAAAAAGACGCGATGGTTACCTGTAGTTAACGGCATCAAAAGTATCAATTACTGTTACAAAATTATATTAATAACAATTTTATTTAATTTAGACATTTTAATACCTGAATCTTTTGGTGGCATCCATTGCAATAAATCATCGATACGAAACGTGGTGGGCGATATTTCTTTAAAGCCAATTGCATTCATGATGGCTGCTCCAGCCGCGCCAAATGATGCCACATTCCTCAAATTCACAAGGTAAGACCTAAAAATATATACATTAATATATATATATATATATATATATATATATATATATATTAAAAACCACATTCAACAGCAATCAATTAAATAACAAGGTCTCTTAACATATTTTTTACAAGATATAACATAGATGTAAATATGAAAACACACTAAAAAGAAACGAGGTCAAAAGTCACACAAAAAACTCATCCCCAGAAACTTTATTTAGCGCCTGATGGTAGTGCTGTAGAAATGCTACCATTGCATTGCTGCAAAATTAATTTCATTTTTTTTATTCAGGAAATAAAATCACAAACCTTCTTTAAATCAAAAACAAAATACATGTATATGCATATAATGAAGAGCAACCGACGGTTATTGATTCTTATGGTAACCCAAAGAAAGTTTTAAAATATCAAAAACTTATTTCCATTGGGGTCCAAATATATACGTGTTTGTATTATACATTATTATTATTATAAGTCTTTACTTCGTATAAGGAATATAAAAGGACTGTAGCCTAATACTGAAATATGTGGCAGAACCGTAGCTTGCCTCTATCTTCAATAGTATTTTTCTGCTTGTGCTTTTGGGAAAGCATGAGTTTGCTGTTTGGGTCCTATGGGGAAAAAGTAGCTTGCTATTAATTGGACTAAAAACGGTAGCTATAAGTTCATGTTGAATTACAGTAGAACTCTAAGTAATAGGAGAAAACAGTGCCCTCATGATAGAAGTTGATGTGGAAAAGGTAGCATGCTAGTAAGATGTGTGGAGGACATTTAGCTTTTAACTTGATCCTATGAAAAGAAAATTGACTGGCTACCTGCTTCCCGAAGAGTAGCTTGTAACTGGTTTTAAAGTCAGAAAAACATAAATTGCTTCAGGAATTTTTAGGAGAAGTGTAGTTTGCTACTGATTCTTATAAGAGTACAGTAACTTGTTTCTGAATCTTATTGAAAAACTGTAGCTTGCTACTGGGTCATGTGAGTGAATCACTATAGAGCAACTTCAATTTATAACACAATAACAAAATAGGTAATGAAGAAAATAAAAACATAAAATATAGAGTGATTGGCTTTTTAGAGTTAATTTGCATTCACATACGGATGCCTACCGAAACAATCAGAAATCGAATAAATATACAGACCTAAATCTGTGTCCACACTATCAAATTTTCTTCGACAAAGAACGTTTGTATGCTCATATATACTTATGATGCGGCTATGTGTTCATGATTTTGTGTCATCACTGACAATATTTAGGCATGTCAAATGTCAAATGTTTGTAAACACAATTTGATAGTCTGGGCAGGGCTTAAGGAAGGCCCTTCGCTCAGCGCATCGAACACGCGGTCCTAATTTCGGATTCGATGTAAATACATTTAAATTTATTTTTACCTATGTTACAAAAAAAATATGCAATACCAAATCTTACTTAACAACGCCACCATCCTTCAAGTAGGCGGAGAAGATTGCACAAGTCTTGATGGATATCTTAGTTTTACCGATGCCAGGCGGACCAGCGAGAACCACGCAGCAACACCCACCTGCCGGTTCCACAAGTTCCACAAATGCCTTCATTATCCTCATTAGCTCATCGTCTCTTCCAACAAATAACGGGTCGCTTTTAACAGCCAGGAGACGTTCAAATTCTCTGTGCCTCTTTCTCATACTCTTGTACTCTTGTATTTCATGTAGGCCGGTATTGTGTTTAATATGTTGGTAGATCTGCTCCAGGAATGAAGTGTCGTCTTCCGTGATAATATTATAGTCTTCCAGTTTTTGAAACAGTTCAAGCGGTGTTTGTATTTTTTCTAATACTGCACTTCCTAACTTTTGTCTTGAGCAGAATTTGGCCTTTTCCAAATCTTTCTCTACCATGTCATTGTGCAGTTTAATAATAAATGGTTTAAAAGGATTGACAATACTCTTCCAATCAAGCTCTTCCGAGGATTTTGATGCCATTATGAGAAGATGGCTTGTAGCCGAATGTCTACCTGTATGGAATTAACAAATTGCTTATTAGATTTGTAAGCCTAAACATATAATTAGCAAACCTCTATGTAAAACAGGTATATATTGCAAGAAAAACGTTGGGTTTATAGCAGTGTAGCCTATATAGGAGGCATTTTATTACACAATGACTTTTTATAGGACTTTATTCGTTTAAAAGCTACAGGGTAGCCTACGATGTTCCATCATGTTCTTATTAAACACTGTATATATACCTTTGATGATATATATTATATAAATATATATATATATATTATATATATATATATATTATAGGCCAGGTTATATATATATATATATATATATATATATATATATGAATCTTCTGCAGCATCTTTATAATAGCCATATATCTGATATGTTGATTATAACAATGGCGTCGTCTGGCTCTGTGTCGCCATGTTTTGAGGTGCCTTGTTATACTCTCTTATTTCATAATAAATAATGGGTAAATAATACACTATATTATATATGTTCCAAAACCCGTCATCCTGTTAGGTGATTGTCTTGGTAAATATTTCATATAAAAATTATATACTACACATTTTGTTGGAAGTTAGACCTTAAAGAAGTATTGAGGTCAAGTGATTTGATTATAGACCTCATCGTCACCACCACCATCATCACAAAAGACATTAAACATTGACTATTAAAATGAAAAGCATCTACTATACCTCCTAATGTTGAATTTAAGTTAAATAAATAGAAATAAATGAATTAATTAATTACGAAACAGTTATCGTCCGTACGTTAGCAGAAATTGCTTTTGAAAAAGTGTTTACCAGTGTAAGAACATACTACCGTTAAGCTCATATACGCGGTGTTTTGAATTTTTTATAGAAACTTCCTTGAACTTCACGCATTAATCGTCAACACACAGTCAGACGCGTCATCCCGTCGACGCTTTCTAATTCCTTCTCCTAACAGGTACCATTCAATAGATTGTTTAAGATACAATACCTTAAGTTGTTTTTTTAAATATTTCTGCATCAGTTCTTCTTTACATGAGAGCAATCATTACACTGAGGATAAATACAAATACGAAAATACTTTACTGCAATCATGAAATTCTAAAGTGATTATTACTCTATTTTTGTATGTAGTATGCCGTATTTGTACATATAATTTAATGAATTTAATGTTAAAATAAGGTGTGCATTTTTAAAGTAGTGTAATATAATATATTATATGATATTATTGTCATTTTTTGTGATTTGAAAGTGCAAATAAAATGAATTGTCTGGAATTCAAATATTTTACAATACATTTTTTAAGTGTTTTTATTTTATTCTATGATTAAAAGAGTTTCCATAAAATTTCACATTGAGACGAAAAGGGTTTCATATTATTGTTACACTGATATTGGTAAACATTATATATTCAAGTATTTTATTGTTAATCCATCCAAAGTTAAGTTTACTCAATTAATGTCCACTACTGATATCAATACAATAAGTTGTTTATGTAAATTTCTTTATCACTCATTTAAACGTCGAAGTGATCATTCCTCTGTAAATAGCAATTATATTTTATTTGGGCCGAAGGCCTTATATAAAAGATGAAATAAATGTCCTTGGCCAGTACGTGCCAAGGAACGGAAACGAAACGATTAGCATTTTTTTATTGGATTCGTTACCGCTCGCAACCAATGATAATAATGATGATGGTGATGATAATGTTGATTATGACGATAACGACTACCAGTATGACAATTGACACACCCCCTTGTCAATGTGGATGATGGCTACAAATATGATGTTAATGACGATGACGATAATCATGGAGGCGATGAACACGACGACTAACGATGACTGCGACGATATTGTTGATGATGGCGAAGATCATGATGGTGAGGATGACGACGATTATGTTGATGGTAATGATGATTGCGATCACGACGACTAACCATAAATAATTTGACTATGATGACACCGACGACGATGACACCGACGGCCACCACTTCGTCCATGTTGATGATGCTGATGGTAACGATAATAATCATGATGGTGATAAAGACAACGACTAATGACGAGGATGATTGATGATGACATCGAATTACGATGACGATGATAACGATGACGCCGATGGCCACCACTTCGTTGTTGTTGATGATGATGATCCGATGATGATGAAGATGACGACGATAATGATGATGATGATGATGATTACGGGTTTGATATGATAACAATAACGACAAGGATAATGATAACAATATCAATGCTTGAACTATGGCCCTTCCTATGAATCAGCTGCAGATTCGAAATAGGAGAAACCGATTTGTAGATAAGATGTGTATAAGAGACAGATGTCATTGTGCAGTTTAATAATAAATGGTTTAAAAGGATTGACAATACTCTTCCAATCAAGCTCTTCCGAGGATTTTGATGCCATTATGAGAAGATGGCTTGTAGCCGAATGTCTACCTGTATGGAATTAACAAATTGCTTATTAGATTTGTAAGCCTAAACATATAATTAGCAAACCTCTATGTAAAACAGGTATATATTGCAAGAAAAACGTTGGGTTTATAGCAGTGTAGCCTATATAGGAGGCATTTTATTACACAATGACTTTTTATAGGACTTTATTCGTTTAAAAGCTACAGGGTAGCCTACGATGTTCCATCATGTTCTTATTAAACACTGTATATATACCTTTGATGATATATATTATATAAATATATATATATATATTATATATATATATATATTATAGGCCAGGTTATATATATATATATATATATATATATATATATATTAATCAT